TGTGATTAGGTACCCCACAAGTGCTATTTGAATGAAGGATAAACAACCTAGTGACAGCTGGATTTTCACAAGTGACATTCACACTTGCGTACTAGTAATGGCAGCTGCCATTTTTTGAGAACTTCACGACATACCATTTATTCCTGTGAGGTAGTTACTATTATCATTCTGTCCTTTTCCTAGAGGAGGAAAGTGAAATTTAGAGAAGTTAAATGACCTGGTCATGGTTTCATAGCTAGTAAGTGGCAGAGGTAGACTGGACCCATTTTGTTAGACTTCAGAGTCCTCACTCACAGCCATTAGTATATACCATCTCCACCAAGATACCTGTTCTTAAAATTCAAAAATACAGAATCACTAGCTTTTTTAGGGTTTTCTTTTTTGCTTTGAATATTTTCATCTGTTTAAGATGGGGAAAAAAAAAACACAAAAAAACATTATCCAGTCTTTGAAAAATCAGTATGTTCTGAAGGCACCTGATTATAAAGAAGAAGTCCTGAGTGCAGTTGGGTTTGGTTTCAAAAAACATGCTAGAAGGAGATGGTCTGTAAGAATCAGTAATGGGGCAAATCACAGTAATGGGGCAAATCGGAAGCATTTGGCCACAAATCACCCAAAAAAAGGAAACTGTTGCTGACCCTTAGAAACAAGCCCTGCTAATGTGAGCCTGCCCAGGGCTTATTTGCACTATCTTTAGAACCTATGAAATATTAATACAAGGAAACTTAACTGTATTAACAGAACTTGGTTGATTGCTAGTTTCAACATTACAAACTATTTACAAGTACAGAGTTACCTGGTACATGGCATCCATGCCCTGTGGTGTTTTTCAGCTCCAGTACGTGTCTAATGAGAATCCCTCTATCCAATGCTTGTGTAGCAGAAACCAGTATTCCCGTTGACAGCTACCTCTCTCATTTTGGGGACACTGTCTGCAATGGACTGCAGCAACATTCTGATGTGTAATTTCATTTTCTCTGTTGCTTTCTGATTCTGTCCCATTTTCCCCAATGTCCCACCTGCCTTCCTTGCTCTCTTTCAGCCTCCTCTGTGACCCTTCAAAATCAGCTACTTTTGCCTCTGTCCTTGCCTTCCCTCCCAGTATTCTACGGTGGCAATGCAAGAAAACTCATGATCCGACCACTGGGACCTTGAACCTCATCTGTGCCTTTAA